GGAGGAGGAGGAGGAGGAAGAAGAAGAGGAGGAAGAACAGGAGGAGGCCCCGACGATGGAGGAGGAGGAGGTGGAGGAGGAGGAAGAAGAAGAGGAGGAGGAGGAGGAGGAGGAGAAGGAGGAGGAGGATGTGGAGGAGGAAAAGGAGGACGACGACAACAAGGAGGATGACGAAAAGGAGGAAGTGGAGAAGGAAGACGAGGAGAGGAAAAGCGGAAGGAGGAAGAGAGGAGAAGTGGAAGGAGGAAAAGGAGGAGGGGGAGAAGGAGGAGGAGGAGGAGGAGGAGGAGGAGGTGGACGAAGGGAAGCTGGCTCACCTGGCATGGACGGGCAATGGCACGTGGGGTTGCAGTTGTCAATGTCAGAGTTCGGCAATGGCAACACCGAACTCCGGCGACAACACGGGGGTCAGAACGCGCAGGTGAGATCGCCAGGGCGCTCAATTTCGAATTTCAAAATAGCCCAATTTGGGTCGTCAATCTTGCAGATTTGACGACCCACATCAGACCGTTTTGTTTTTCGATTTTGGAGGCCCTACCGACCTCCAACACATCTTCCCGTCGGCGCCCCAGTTCGCCTGTCCCAACCGTTTACCCCTCCGTCGCCCAAACCCCCGTCTTCGACCCACCCCAATTTTTTTCAGTGATCGGACGTAGGGGTCTTGGCGGACAACCAACCGATTGTCCGATCGGACGGTCCCGAACGTCCGATCAGGTAACGTAGGAACATTCTCTCACTTGCATGTTATTCTTTGATGTCCCTCTTCGTGTGCCTTGCTCATACCAGAGCCGCGAGCGTAGCATGACGGGTCCACTTGTTATTTTATTATTATTTAGGGGAAACGATGGCGGAGTCAAGGTTTGAATTCAAAAATACACTTTCAGGCAAAAGACCTAAAAATGTCGAATGTATACAAGGCATGTTTCTTGTCCGGTTAGGTCACGGGGGGCGTTGTTATGTGTCCAAGGGAATGCCTGAAGTTATCCGTTCAAACTATTTTTGTGACTGCCACGTATTTACCATTTTTTACAAATCAACCAGAGATATTATCCTTCCTCTTGGTTCAGTCGACCCTCGATAAAGAATCCAGCCGTATTGTCTACATGAAATTTGCTCATCGTTTTATAATCTACCCCTCCACTACAAGCAAAGCATGATCATTATTTTTCACTTTGAAAAAATAAATATTGAGATTTCAATGTAATGAGTCCACTACACATGTATTCGATGCGTTCTTGATGTTTTTTCTTTCTCAATTGTTTACTGTTTTTTTATAGTACGTGAACCTATGAGTTTCTTTTGTTTCTTTATAATCGGATTATATTAGGTAATTTATATATTTGAGACTATATCATTAAACCACCAGTACCTGGGCCTGTTATTTTTTTTTTGGGCGGCCGCGTCCTTCGCGTGAGAAAGCAGGTTCGGGCTGGAGGCCGTGGGGAGTGCCAACGGGCCCAAACAAACGTCGTTTCGAAGTAGTCTGTGGAGAAAAAAAGAAACAAGGGCGACACAAAACGTGATATACGGAATACCCTGACATTCGGAATTATCGGGCCGAAAAAGAAAAAAAATTGTTAATTCGACCGCTGGCTGTGAGTCCATGGGTGCAGGCATCGGCCATTTGTGAGTGTGTGTCGCGTCGACCGTTTTTGTGCGACCGCACAAAGGGTACTTCCGTCAATAGGCGCACGACGGTCGTCGACTTCGTGCTTGTTTGCTTACCTTTGGAGATTTGTTCGACGTGTTCACACCAGGAGGAGAAAGAGAGCGAAAGAGAGAGAGAAAGAGAGAGAGAGAGAGAGAGAGAGAGAGAGAGAGAGAGAGAGAGAGAGAGAGAGAGAGANAGAGAGAGAGAGAGAGAGAGAGAGAGAGAGAGAGAGAGAGAGAGAGAGAGAGAGGCACCCACTCCCACTGCTGCGCGGTGGATGTCGTGCCCGGTGATGGATGGTCACAGGTGCAGGCACGACGCAAGGTGATAGGAGGGCGCCGAAGAACGGCGCCTGCGCGTGCTGCGTCGCAGACGTCCATCTGTAGGAGACGCCATACCTGCGGCCACGAAGGAGCAATCGACAACTTTGCCCTCGGCTGCAGCGGGCGGGAGATCAACACATCCACGAACAACGAAACGTCAAACACAAAAGGGAAAAAAAAAAAAACTACAAGACATAACGTCAGACTCGTCGGTCGTCGTTAGACACGGAAGGGATCATTCAAACCGATACTGCGGACGGGAGGCGCGGCCCGACAACACCTTTCCGATGTAAATACAAAAAAAGTTACAAAATACACCAAGTGAAACTGCGTACCACCGGGAACCCAAATGGAATAAAAAAAAGGAGGATCGACAAACCTTGATGCGCAGGGAAAAAACAGGGTCGGGCCTGAACAACCGCCAGGTACTGGTGGTTTAAAGTGGTCCAAGACATTTTGCCCGGTTGGTCAAATGATGAATTACAAAATAAATTCTAGGTTTTGTATTTTTTCCTATGTTACCAGTTGTCCAATGGCAGGTGGTCCTGGGCGGACAGTCAGGGGGGTCCCGGACGTCTGGGCACGGACAACTCCATTTTTAACAATTAAATGCATGAAAAAAAAAAAAAAAACTGGGGGCGCCTTTAATTTTAATTTTATTTTAAAATTGACAATGAATTTCGATATCATCGCAAGGTAAAAGTTGTTCAGTTTATGTTTCTACATAATATAGCTTGTTTTGAAATTTTTTGGAGGACTTTTTTTTTTTTTTGCCGTTCGGGCTCGGACAGTCCACCCAGGGAGGATGTCCGACCGGTTGTTTGAGTGGACAACCCCGGACGGTCAGGGGGGTCCCGGACGTCCGATCAGGTAACCTAGATTTTTTAATCAATTGTTTTGAGTTTCTTTGTAGTAAGTAAACTAACGAGCTTCTTCGGCTTCTTTGTATTGAGATCATATTTAAAGCGTTGGTATATTTGAGATTATGTTACCAGAGTGGTTCACGACCACTTGCGCGGTCGGATCGTTAATGAATTAAAAATAAAATTAAATTTATTTTTATTTTATTATTATTTAAATTATTTTATTTTTTTCAATTTGGCAAAAAAATTCAATCCAACCGTAAGGGAAAAGTTATTCCGTCACCAACGAGCCTAGCTAAGTTGGTGCATGCACAAACGTTTAGATACAGACCCAAGTTCGACAATAGATAAAATTTGATAACCCAAATAAAATTATTATCAATTACTTGGGGCCGGTTCGTTTAATGATGATATCTCTAGGTCGTCACCCTTTCTTTAAAAAAAAAAAAATTTGTTTAATTTATCTTTTTGCACCACCTCTTTTTTTTTTCAGGAACCTTCCATTTTGGTAATATAGATTTGCCCTTGCTTGGACGACCCTATTGGTAACATAGATTTGAGTCATTTGACATTATTTTCATCCTTGTTTTTTCTTGACATTGGTCAACTAAACGATCATACTTGCTATCGATGAAAGATTCATTGGTCGACCAATAAGTTAATTAATTATTCACAAAGATCAATCATTGATCAATCAAACAATAAATCAGTCTGATCTTGATCAAATGACAAGTTGATCAATCAATCAATCAATTGATCAAATAATTGATCAAACTAATTATTAACCAATGACTCAGTGACAACAAAATTCACTTATTTAGGTTTTTCTTCATTTCTCGAGTTGCCATTCGACATTTCGATAACCAATCTATAAAATTGAAGGGGTGCAAACGAAACACACACACACACACATAGCAATCGGAGAATTGAAGGCTTAAGTGAAATATATATATATATATATACAGGGTTACCAGCCCGTATGTACGGAGGCCCCCGGGCGGACCTCCGTACGTTCGGGCGTTCGAGGTCCCGTATGGGGTCCGAACCAGATGGCGTTCGGCCCCCGCCAAGAAATATTTCGGGGCCTAAAAATAATTTTTGTTTTTTTTGAATTTTGTTTAAAGAGTTTTCTATGATGTGAGATACATATCTGCAAATTTTCAAGTCATTTGGCTTAGCCAAATCAGAATTAAAAAACGCCAAAGATGGCAGTGTCAAAACGTGCTCGCCCACGTTTTTTTTCACTTTTTACTTTTTATTTTCACGTTAGTTCGGGGTCTGAAAAATTTTATTATTTTCTGAAACTTTTTAAGTGGGTTTTGTATGATGTGAAGTACACATCTGTAAATTTTCATGGCATTTAGCTATGCTAAAAAAAAATGAAAAATTGCCAAAAATGACAGTGTCGAAGACATGCTTGCGCACTCACTAAATCTAATTCTCTTTTTATTTTTATTTATTTTTATTATTAGTATTTGTTCTGTATATTTTATTTTTATTTCAAATTTGGTAAGGAAATTGGATGTAATGCTCAGGCAAATCTTGTTTAANTTTTTTGGTCCGCGTTCGGCCCGAGCGGCCGAACGCATCCCCAAGGGGTCCCATACGTTCGGGCGTTCAGGTTCGGGCGTTCGGCCCGTCCTGAACGCCGGTTACCCTGTATATATATATATATACATATATATATACAGGGTCACCATAACGTATGTACGGAGGTCCCCGGGCAGACCTCCGTAAGTACGGGCGTTCGGGGTCCCGTACGGGGTCCGAACCTGACGGCATTTGGTCCCCGCCAAAAATTATTTCGGGACGTAAAATTAATTATTTTTTTCTGAAGTTTGTTTTGTGAGTTCTATATGACGTGGGGTACATGCCTGTAAATTATCAAGTCATTTGGCTACGCCAAATCAGAATCAAAAATCGCCAAAGATGGCGGTGTCAAAACGAGCTCGCCCACGTATTTTTTCACTTTTTACTTTTTGTTTTCACTTTAGTTCGGGATCTAAACAATTTTATTATTTTTGAAACGTTTTTATTGGGTTCGCGCACTCACTAAATTTAATTCTCTTTTTATCATTAGTATTTGTTTTTCGTATTCTATTTTTATTTCAAATTTGGTAAGGAATCCGGATGTAATGCTCAGGCAAATCTTGTTCAATTTATTTTTTCCCATAACATATCGTTTTCTCGGATGTTTTGGATGACTTTTTTTTTTTTTTTTTTTTTTTTTTTTTTTGTCTGCGTTCGGCCGTAACGGCCGAACGCATCCTCAAGGGGGCCGTAACGGCCGAACGCATCCTCAAGGGGTCCTATACGTTCGGGCGTTCGGGTTCGGCCGGTCGGCCCGTCCCGAACGCCGGTTACCCTCTATATATATATATATAAATTTATACACAAATACATGCAGACATACATATGTACACTCATGGTCATAATTGTACAAACATCAACACACGGATACATGCACACAAGTGAAACGACGGAAAAAAAAAATATATTGTGCATACGTACATACATAGACATATAGGATTGAGTTTGTGAGTGAAATGAGACCCTGTGTACTAACATGGACAGAAAGGTTCACAAATGGACAGACACATATAACACATATATTAAAAAATATATGCATGGAAGGTTGCGACATGATAAGTGTAATAACATTTCAGTTCAATTTAAAATAAAAGGCTAAATTTTATCCTGCGATCTTCAGTTCTCGCTTCTCAAACTTTTCTTCTCTCTCTCTCTCTCTCTCT